AAAAAAAAAAAAAAAAAAAGAATTGGAAAGAGGACCCTTTGCCCAGGAAGAACGTGAAGAGGAGCTGCTTGTTTCACCACGTCCTCTACGTCCTCTCCTGTGTCCGTCTCAGGAGAGTTCAGGCTCTTGGGTTCCGGCTACCCTGGAGTTTAATTCAGCCTTTGTCACAATAGCTGTAAAACGTGAGCAGACCTCATCAGCCCCATGTGGTTTTATTTGTTTTTTTGAAATATGGTGGATTCCTTCTGCTGAAGCCACTCCTGGTTCTTGTTTTTTTGGGTTTTTTTTGTTTGTTTGTTTGTTTTTTGAGATGCAGTCTTGCTGTGTCTCCAGGCTGGAGTGCGGTGGCACGATCTCGGCTCACTGCATCCTCCACCTTCTGGGTTCAAGCAATTCTCCTGCCTCAGCCTCCCAAGTAGCTGGGATTACAGGCGCCCGCCACCATGTCTGGCTAAGTTTTTGGGTTTTTTTGGTAGAGACGGGGTTTCATGTTGGCCAGGCTGGTCTCAATTTCTTGACCTCGTGATCTGCCCACCTCGGCCTCCCAAAGTGCTAGGATTACAGGCGTGAGCCAGCACGCCCAGCCGCCACTGCTATTTCTTAATGTTTGGTATTCACTATATGGCATTTACTCCGCAACTTTGCAGACAGTACTGCAGATCATACTTGGGCTTTCTAATTACCTCCATCTTTGTGAAATTTAGACATAAGCCCACATTATTTCCAGAATTGAGAAGAAAGACTCACTTTGTGTTAATGGGAAGAACTGGCTTGTTTCTCCTGAGGGACAGTCAGTCATCAGAACAGTGGTTGGGGGTTGGCTTGAACTTTCACTTAGACCGTGGAGCTTGCAAGGGATTTCATTGGGGTTTGAATGTGATTTTAAAATGCCCTGCCCCTCCCTCTGTAGGATCTCACCATCCCGGAGTCTAGTACTGTGAAGGGGATGATGGCCGGACCGATGGCCGCGTTTAAATGGCAGCCAACCGCAAGCGAGGTAAGGAGCTCTTCTGCAGGCAGGACAAGCTGCAGCTTAGGGCGAGGTTCCTGTGTGATCCTCTTTTTTTTTTTTTGTCCTTTTCTTGTGTGTGAGGCTTAATTTATTATTACAAAACAGTACAGAAGTCCATGAAATAAAAAATTAAAAATCTCCCTCTAGGGTGAGCCCTGTGAGGCTTGAGGTGGCAGATTTCAGTCCTCTGGGATGCCCACTCAGCATTCATTTAGATGATTATAGACTTATGTCTGATTTTTGTTATTTTGGGCAGGGTTCTTTTTCACAAAAGTGGGATCATTCCATAAGTTTTCCCCCCTAATATTTTATCAATACCCTCCTATTGTCCGTAAATACAATTTTAATGTTTAGTTCTGTTGTCCTTGGTACAGCTGCACCTATTGCTGGGCATGATTATGGAAAACCCATGAAGGTCCACTGTCGTGGCTACTCTGTTTAATATGCTCAGTAAGATGAGATCCCCAGGGGCTTGGTACCAGACACAAGTAGGCCGAAACCCTGAAATTCCAGAGTAGATGTGACTCAGTCTGCTGTGCCTGCTAAGTACCGAATTTATAAAGCCCAAGTATGCTTGTTAATATTTTCCCACAGTCTCATTGGAACAATGTGCGTACCAACCTGGCAGAATCATCTGTTCTTTTCCACTTTAAAGCCAGTTTTCCTCTAGCTGGAATGGGGCTTGTTTATAAAAAGGCTTAGGCCAAAATGGGAAAAGAATTTCCAGACAATTGTGAAAAAGAGACCAGAATCCAGAGGTGTTCCAGCCAGAGGGGAGTCTGGTTACCAGGGAGAAGGAAGTGACCTTTGGTGGCAGGTACTGTTTTTATTTCATTGTTTTCTGGTTTCAGCCTGTTAAAGATGCAGATCCTCATTTTCATCATTTCCTGCTAAGCCAAACAGAGAAGGTGAGTTGCCCTTTGAGGCTCTTGGCCCTTGGTCAGGGGCTGGCCAAGGAGTGCTCCTCCACAGGGTCCTGGCCCAGCCACCTGAAAAGTTAGGCTCTGCTGGTGTATTGCCCAGAACAACTAGCCCAGAAGCCCTAGTATGGGCCCACTAATGACCCAAGCATTATTAAGATTAAAAATAAACCCAGGCCGGGCATGGTGGCTCACACCTGTAATCCCAGCACTTTGGGAGGCCGAGGCAGGTGGATCACGAAGTTAGGAATTCAAGACCAGCCTGACCAACATGGTGAAACCCCATCTCTACTAAAAATACAAAAATTAGCTGTGCGTGGTGGTGCACGCCTGTAATCCTAGCTACTCAGGAGGCTGAGGCAGGAGAATTGCTTGAACCCGAGAGGTGGAGGTTGCAGTAAGCCAAGATCACATCACTGCAATCCAGCCTAGGTGACAGAGCAAGACTCCATCTCAAAATAAATAAATAAACCCAAAGGCCGGGCGTAGTGGCTCATGCCTGTAATCCCAGCACTTTGGGAGGCCAAGGCAGGTGGATCACCTGAGCTCAGGAGTTCAAGACCAGCCTGGCCAACATGGTGAAACCCCCATCTCTACTGAAAATACAAAAATTAGCTGGGCGTGGTGGTGCGCGCCTGTAATCCCAGCTACTTGGGAGACAGGCAGTAGAATCACTTGAACCCAGGAGGCAGAGGTTGCAGCGAGCCAAGATCGTGCCACTACACTCCATCCTGGACAACAGAGCGAGACTCCATCTCAGATAGATAGATAGATAGATATCCCAAAAAGAGCATTTAAAATTCAGCCAGCTGTGCAGTTGAGACTTTCACAGTGATCTTTAGAGTTTAGGGCAGAAAGCAAACATCGTAAGCTGTCAGCTCCCCATGAAATTGCATGGCAGACACATCTTGAAGCTCACTCCAAGAGACAGTCTCCAAGTCCTGCGGATGCAGAGGGAAGCTCTCCCAAGGTCTGCAAGGTTATGGGATAGACTGAGCCATGCTAGGTTCTCATGAGAGTTTGTGGCTTTGGAGTTGGATAGATGTGGGTTCCAAGGTTATGACTCTTATTCTCAACACCATGGTCAGCAAAAAGAACTTGTAGAATTGCATGGGGACTTGAATGAGGTAATGTGTATGAACTTTCTGGTGTAAAATTTGGAGTTCACTTAAGTATAAAACAAATATTTGATGTTAACTTCCCACTTTGGGTCTAACCTTTGAGGGGATTATTATGAAGACTGGTTAAACTTGCAGTTGAATAAGTAGTCTCTTTCCTCCTCCTCCATTAGCCAGCTGTCTGTTACCAGGCAATCACTAAGAAGTTGAAAATATGTGAAGAGGTACGTAGGCTCCATGCCTCCCCATTTTAATTTTCACCTGGGTCCTTAAACTGCAGGCTGACTGACTTGTTGATGTGCTTCCTGTCCGTAGGAAACTGGCTCCACCTCCATCCAGGCAGCTGACAGCACAGCTGTGAATGGCAGCATCACACCCACAGACAAAAAGTAGGACCTTTGATGAAAAGGCTTCCAGTGGCTCTGGTTCTGCTGAGGGTGGGGGGAAGTTGATCCCAGGGGGGTTCTTTAAGGGTTGTGTCCTAGCCATTGCTGGCATTGAATGGAAAGGGCGGGGGACGTTGTAACTTTTATTGACAATGGTAGGAGCAGTTTGACTCATAGGAGTCAGAAGCTGTATAAATCTATGGTCAGGTTTCCCTTGGGCATAAGCTGAGGGATTTTTTTGGCTCCAGAACTCAGGAGCCAAGGAGCACTTGGCTTAGTGGTTCTCAGACTTTCCTGTGCCTCACAGTCACCTGGAAGGTGGCTTCTCAGTCAATATGTCCGGGTGGGGCCCAAGAATTTGTATTTTTAACCGGTTCCCAGGTGTACTGCTGCTGCTGGTCAGAGCTACACTGTGAGAACCACTGGGTGAGTAGAATCATTATGAAGCCCCAAAATTGGCCATGTTGGGGCAGATGGGGGAAGAGAAATGAAAGTGCTTAGGGGTCCTCACTGGGCACCTGCTGGCTGTCCTGCACCCTGCCCAGTGTGGGTGGAGTGATCCTGGACTTGCTCCCAGACCCAACTTGCACCCAGCCTTGCCTCTGTGCCTGCTCTGTAGGCCTGTCTCCTCCACAGAGTCTTGTTGGCAAAAAGATATCTTTTCTAAGAAAACATGTTCTCTGGAGCAAGTTAGCTGAAGTCAGTTTCCAGTTTGTACCTTTCACATGGTCTTCCCCAGACTAAAAACAGTGCATCATTTACTTGACGTTTTTGTACTGTCGAAATCACTAATTCTACCAGTTGTTTTTGGTGAACTTGCCTCTGTAGAGTGGAGGAGATAAGGGCATATTAGGTGCAAACAAAGGGGGAGGAGGATTGTGTTAAATAATAGTAAAAATGTGACCAGGATGGGGCTGAGGACAGAATGCTGATGTCTTTACCCAACGCATTTATTGGCCCATTAGTCAAACTTGTAGTAAAGAGTATGAAGCCAGCATCAGAACCAGCCAGTTTGTTGTTACCCAACCCACCTTAATCCACATTTCCAACTTATCTGAGACACAGTGTGAAGGACTCTCAGTTGCCATCTTAAAAATCTAGAACCTTGACCAGGCGTGGTAGCTCACGGCTGTTTGACTCCCAGCACTTTGGGAGGCCAAGGTGGGCCGATCACCTGAGGTCAGCAATTCAAGACCAGCCTGGCCAACATAGTGAAACCCCGTCTCTACAAAAATTAGCCGGGCATGATAACGGGTGCCTTTAATCCCAGCTATTTGGGAGGGTGAGGCGGGAGAATCGCTTGAACCCGGGAGGTGGAGGTTGCAGTGAGCCGAGATCACACCACTGCACTCCAGCCTGGGCAACAGAACGAG